GACAACAATTCTCAATTCCAATGCCTTTTTTCCGATTGATTTTAGTTCGTTTACACTTTGCACTGATTAAATTTCGTACCGATTAGATTTTATGTTCTTCACTGACAAGGGTTGCAGATTTGAATTCCTTGCCATCAAGAATGAAAAATGATTGACCATAATTCAGATTTGTTACTTGTACTATGTTTTACTGCCGTTACGTTTCAATTCTGGTTCAGTTCTAGTTTTAATCAATTCAATTCTAGTTCAGTTTTCAATTCCAGTTTTAGTTTACTGCTATCATGCGAATTACTTCTTGCAATTGCGTTTTACAGATTTTACTTTCAGTTTAGAACTTAGGTTAGGTTTAATAAGTTTTGTTAGTGAATCTAGTTTACTATTTCCGCCGATTACTTTCATTTTCAATTCAAGTTCCAGATTTACTGTTTTGAGTTCAGTTTTACTTTCAATTTGCTTTACTGTTTAGTTTTAGTCAAGCATTCCAGTTACATTTGCATTAATTCAATTTGCAGTCTGTTTTACATTTCTGTGCTGTTCAGTTTAATAGTAATTCAGTTTACTTTGTTTTACTATTTTTAATTCTGTTTCTATATTTGAATCTCCAATTTTTAGTTAATTGAGAAAGACCTCACTCAATGAATTCAACTAAAATGTGTTCCTTGAATTCACACTTAGGTTGGACCCTATAATACATTAGGGGGAAACTTTTTTAGCATACTTTGATGTGACTAAATAGGTTTAACAAATTGGCGCTGGGGAACACATGTCTTTAAGTGAATTAATTGATTTTCTTTTTCTTTTTTGTATAAATCAGTAGATGGATCAGTAATTTTTTTAGAACTGCTGCTGCTGTTTCAATGCTATAATGTCTTGGTTGCTATCCAAATTCTCTGCAGATTTTTGGTTTGTTGCTTTGTAGATGTTGCTGGTATATGACCAGGTCAAGACCAGGGCCACTGTTTCCTTGAATTCTGAGATTAAGAAGACATTCAAGAAGCTACAAAAAGAACAATTAGGTGATCATACTACCTCTGCTGTACCAGTTCTAACACGCCAACCTGAAACTTAACAAATAGAAGAAACGGCACTTAGCAGGGAAAGAACCTTGAAAGAATTAGCCAACTCTGATATTGGATAGCAACCTCTATGCATTCAGATACCAAATCTCCGTGAAGCAGCAGCCAGTGATGCGTTGAAGTCTGGATTGATTCAGTTGTTGCCAAGGAATCAAGGTCTAGCAGGAGAGGACCCTCATAAGCATTGATTGGAATTCCATGTGATTTGTTCAACCATGAGGCCGGCAGATGTGCCTGAAGACTTGGTGAAAATGAAGGCCTTTCTATTTTCATTGTGTGATATCGCTAAAGATTGGTTGTACCTGCAACCAACACCAATCACCACATGGACAGAAATGAAGAGAAGATTTCTAGAGAAATTTTCCCTGCTTCAAGAACTGCATCAATAAGAAAGGAAATCAGTGGAACAAGGCAGCTGCAAGGAGAAACACTGTTTGAATATTGGGAGAGGTTCAATAAACTGTGCTATACATGTCCAAACCATCAAATGAAGGACTACTGCCAATGGTCATAACTTTCCTATATTTAGTTTCTTGGTCGGCAGAACATTCGCTATTCAGATTAAAAAAATTTACTTCCAAATCCAATCTCATTTACCTCCAAATTCACTCAAATAATCAACAAAAAAAATTTATTTTCAAATCCTCTCAAACTCTCTCAATTACTCTTCTTCAAATCCACTGAAGTGAACAAGTTGGATATTATGACTCAAGATACAAGTAACACCAAAATTGATATACATTGGAATTGAGGTTATCTGAGGTGTAACCTAAATCTGCTCCTGGAAGATGAAATCCCTCAAATTGCAATCCTAATTCAAGTCAAGATCAAGACCATCTTTAACCCTTCAAATTTCTAACCAGGACAAGAAAAATTCAAAACCCTAAATGTACCTTGAATGGGTCTGCTGTCAAATGGCTGTGGGCAATCACCAAAATGACTAAAGAAAGCAAAAATTATGTTTTTTTAATTATTACTGGGGCTTTGCATTTTTTTTTTTCAGATAAAAGAGAATAATACTCAACTTCAATAAGATTCACTTATTCAAAGATAAACTAAAGGTGAAAAATATGCATTGTATTATATGTCTCTTATCTTTTGTATTTGTAATTCTTAGAAAGAAAATCTGGTCTCTGTTTTTGTCTCTCGGTGTCTTCCATGGTGGCACTGTTGCGCATAAGAAGAATCATCATCACCTGCATCAACGCGCATAAGTTTCCGTACTCTCCTCCCTTTTCTCCAAAATCCAAACTTTTCTCAACATTGCCGCTCCAACTCCAATCCTTAGAGTGGGAACCTCTCACCAAATCCCAACTCAAGACCCTCGTTGTCAACCAGTACGCCCATGGAAGCTTCACCAACCTCGTCAAAAATGTCGTCGCTTCACCCCTCGTCCTCTTCACCGCATGCCAAAATCTCTCAGCCGCTCCCTTACGCCCGGCCTCGCTCCAGGGCCGCTTTAGCATCGAGACCACGTCCCGGGAGCTCCGCGAAAACCGTTTCAACGTGGAAGCATGTTGCGTCACACTAACGCCCTCCAGTAAAACTGCTTCTTCTTTGCCTTTGGTTTTGCCCAATTTGAAGCTCAAAGCTGTGGTTGAGGCCATTCGGATGGTGTTGGAAATCGTGTACGACGAACGCTTCGTCACATTTTGCTACGGTGGCCGCGTCGGAATGGGACGACACACTGCCATAAGGTACTTGAAAAACTCCGTCGAGAACCCTAGTTGGTGGTTCACCGTGAGGTTCAAGCCTCACGGGTTTGAACATTTCCATGTGGAGAAGCTGTGTTCTGTTATTGAACGCAAAGTGAAGGATGTCGTTTTCATTGATTTGATAAAGAGGTTGTTTCAATGCAAGGCTTTGGTGATTGAATTTGGTGGAGATTGGCTGGGAAGGGGGCTCCCTCAGGAATGTGGCTTGTGTTCTATTTTGATGAATGTTTACTTTGATGGCTTTGATAAAGAGATTCAAGAGATGCGACTGCGGGAGAATCGAGAGAATTGGGAATTGGATCCAAAGATGATTGGTTCAGGTTTGGATTCTGATGTGTTTTACAAGCCTGTGAAGGTGTATGCGGTGAGGTACTTGGATGAGATACTTGTTGCCACATCAGGGTCGAAGATGTTGGCTATGGAGTTGAGGACGGCAGTTGTCAAGAGTTTGGAACTTGGTTTGGGTTTACGTGTTGATAAGGTGAATACTGCAATTCATAGCGCGGGGTCGGAGAAGATTGTATTTCTTGGGATGGAGTTGCAAGCTGTTAGGCCATCAGTTTTACGCCCTCCTATGTCAGAGAAAGCAATTAGAGCACGAAAGAAGTACCTCAGGCAGAAAGAAGTTACGGCTCTTGAATTGAGAAATGCCAGGGCTAGGAATCGAAGGAATTTGGGTTTAAAGATATTTAGTCATGTTTATAAAAAGATCAAGCAGAGTGATGGATTTAAATTTGATTTTAGTATTGAAAGCGAGGTCCGAGATATTTTTAGATCTTGGGCTGATGAAGTAGTGCAGGAGTTCTTGGGGAATATAGACGAGTGTCAAGAATGGCATCGAAGTCTATCTGCTGGTGATTTTCTTAAGTTGAGACACATCAGAAATCAATTGCCACCTGAACTTGTTGATGCTTACGATAAGTTTCAAGAGCAGGTTGATAAACATTTGAATCCTACAAAAGCTAGGAAGGCGATTGAGGAAGAGGAAAGAAGAGTAAAGGAAGAAGAAGAACAAAGTTATTCCAAAGGAACAGTTGAGGATTTGACAAGCCTCTGTATGAAAGTTGAGGCACCAGAGATACTCATAAGAAAGGCTGTGAAGTTGGTTGGGTTTACAAATCATATGGGTCGACCAAGGCCAATTGAATTTCTGGTTGCGCTTGAGGATACTGATATTATCAAGTGGTATGCTGGCATAGCAAGAAGGTGGCTCGATTATTTCTGCTGCTGCCACAACTTCAAGATGGTCAAAACTGTTGTATCTTATCATTTAAGGTTCTCTTGTATCTTGACTTTAGCAGAGAAGCATGAATCCACCAAGCGTGAAGTGATAAAACATTTTAGCAAAGATTTGAAGGTCTATGATATGAATGGAAATTATGAAGTGCATTTTCCAACAGAAAGAGAGGTTAAGATGATGGGAGATAGAAATCTTTCTGATCCAAAACCAGTCGATGGGGCTTTATCTTTGGCTGTAGTAAGGTTGGCATTCGATGAGCCTCCATCACAATGCATTGCCCATTTCTGTGACAAGACAACCACAATCTTATATCGGGTCTATTTGCTGCACAACAGATTGAATGTGAACTCATCAGAGAAAGAAAAATGGGTGCAAGGGATGGGTGTAATTCATGAAAGCCTAAACCGTAAGTGCCTCCCTCTCTGCACCGATCATGTAAATGATTTGTACATGGGGAGAATCACACTTCAAGATATTGACTTTCCTTATTGTGTGGATGTGGACTGACTTTTGCTGCTAATATATATTTACTTCAGTTAGAATCAATGATGAGTCCTTTATACCTCCATGAATTTAAAAACTTTTGGCATGTTTGCAGTTTGTCCTTCAGTTATTTTGATTCAATATGTAGTAAATAAATAAAATAAATTATAAAGTGTTAGAATTGAATGAATAGGTAGATGATGAATAATGGTCAGCAGTGCAGCGTGGTCATGTAGTCTCGGCCAGCTTAAGTTTTGGTGAGGGGGCTGTTCAGGAAAAATCCCTAGTGTACCTTTTGTGGTATATTTTTTAATTGGTTGTCACTTTTGGGATAAAGCCTGGACATAAAGTGATGGGCAGCAGTCGTGTTACAGTTTGATTAATAAGCAAATTAGAGTAGGTTCGACATTAAGCCTAGGTATATGATGAGAATATAAGTTAATTGTCACGGTTATGGAAAGTTCTTCACCATGGAAGCTTTGTCCAGGGTAAATACTGTAAACGCCGTTTGATTCCTGACTCTTTTTTCATGGGATCTTTTATAGGATGTGACTATTGAAATATAAACTAATTCAAGGAACTTCTACATTAAAAGCTTGTATTATTTTTAGAGGATAAAATGATATGCGTGCATTTACACGGTAATCTGATAAAGCTTGGGTTTTTGTATAAAATGAAAAACCAAGCAGGAAGGATGATAGTGATCGACTTGTTGCATGAATTTAAGCTATGAAGTTGTGAAGTCAACGGGATCCAAACATGTGATCAAGGAGGATGAGAAAGGCCATGGCGAGAGCGGTGTCCATCTCAGGCTGTACAATGAGACGGAAGATGTCTGCGCCAAAAACTATCCCTCCTGCCTCACCTTCTTTCATCTTTATCTCTGCAACTTTTCTCCTGTTCTTGCTGTAAAACGTGCAGCAACGCCGGGCGTAGCACCCCTCTATCTCATACGCAACTTCCTTCTTCATATTTCCTGTTCCAAAGGAGCTCAGGAGGTGTGCCAAACACTTATTGTTGCTGTTGTTCAAGATGCTGACACTCTTCCTCGCTGTAAAAAGTGGTTTCAGAGACTCATCCTCTCCTTCAAACACCAGCCAGGTGTCTCCCAAGCTCAGCCTCTGCATCAGGAATCAATAAAAAAAACAAATTACAGATATGGGTAAGCATGCCGAAGAGGAAGTATCAGAGTGACACGACTTTACTAATTCAGTTTTGGTGAAAAAAAGGACGTACCTTGCGGCGGATAGTGAGGAGAGGTGTGCCTGCAGCGTCCATGAGAAGTATGTGATCCTTGTTCCCTCCAATGTAGTTATCCACCCTGAACACCAGATTCCCTCTGTTAGTGTCGAAAACGGTGAATCCATGGCAATTTGGGAGGAGAGACTTCTTCCACACGGTGAGGACCACTGCATCATCACCACCACCACCACCAACACCACTATTTGACCTCTCCCACGCTGTCTCACTCACACATGCACCAGGGTGTACCTTCCTCATTGCCACCAACCCTACCACATCACCCCCACTTTAATTTATTATATATATACTACGGGTGCAGGGCATGATTAATTAATTCATTAATTGTAATTGGGCGGCTACTCATGATGATCGAAATTAGAATAGAATAAAATAGTTCGTACAATAAGAGATTGGATTGACTAGAATATTTGTATGGCTGGGAACCATTTCGCGGTGCCACGCAAGGACGGCTCCAAGATATTTCTTCACAGCTTTTTTTTCTATTTTGTTTCTTCATCACCTAATTATCGTAATTTAAACCTTCCAATTATTTTTAGTTAATTATTAGCGTAATACGTAATGTGTAAACCACGATGGGTTAGGGCGGTTTATGCGACTTTTTCGACCATCCAAGGGCACATCTCGTTTTGATGCCACTCTCCCTTTTTTCTTCATTAATTATTATTTATACTTGTATTAATTAATTACTACTCGTACTATTCATTGTCCACCAATTTTCCTGAGTGTTTGATGAAACAAATTAACAGTTTATCCAATAACAAAATCAATTCTACGTAGAAGTGTTATTTTTTTAATACCTATTTTGGTGTTTAGTTTTGGTAAGTGTGTTTAAAGTAGTTCTATCTTTTTTTAAATGTTGATATTTGTTCTATATTTTATAAAAATGGTTCAAGTTAATCATTTTTGCTTACAGCATTAAAAACACCTTAGCAAAAAAGTGAATGAGTTGTCCAATTATGGCAACTGATCAAATTGACGTGGCAATTAAGTATAGTTTTTTGAATTCAAGTACACAATTCGATAGAGTCTCAGTGTAGGGCATATTCCATCTGAATGCCTCTTATCTTTAATGAGCCTCATCAACCCAATCAAAAGACTATGACTCTTGAAAATCTCCAACTTGAAGACACAACATAGGATTTTTGCTCCCTTTTCATTCTGGTTCGAGAGTGTTTTGCAAGAAGGGGAAACGAGTTCCAGTGGAAGACACGACTTCCATCTTCGCGGTATTGTGGCATCAACAGTTTTGTCTCTACAACGACGTGAAGGCTTTGTTCTCCTGTGACGAGGGTCTCCGTTCTATATCATCTTCACAGCGACAGGGCTCGCAGTGGCACGTTGCATTTTGGGGATCCTGTTTCTCGCGACTCACGCGGGTTGAGCCATGAAGAGGATGATGACCTTCGTGATTGCAGTGTTTTGGGTTTCCTTTTCTTGTGTTTCAGATTTTGCAAATTTTAGGGATTTTAGATTAGGGTTTTGAATCAGAGTTGATTTCGCATTTTGAGATTCTTTTCTTTGTTTGTAAATTGGGTTTCCTTTTCATGGGATTCTGTTTATCATCTGCAGATTGATGTTCATGATCTTATAATTTGGGATTTCTTGTTCTTGCTTTCTCAACTTTCAAATTTGGGATTTGTGGTTTGTAGGTTATTGAATTGGATGTTTGGGGTTCCTACTTTAAATTTATGTTCTTTATTTTTCTCTGTTGGTTTAGTATTGCAATTTGAGGTTAGGGTTTAAATTAGAATTTTATATTTTCGCTTTGAGGATTATGATTGCGAATTGGGGTTTTGGTTTTTTTCTTTTTCGTTTCAGTTCTTGGACTGAAGACGTTGATGGGAAAGAAAGGGTAAGTAAATTAATTTGGGTAAAATTAAGGAAATTGCCACATCAATTGACCTTAGAGTGTCACACAATCAATAACTGGACAGGTCATTCACTTTTGATCGGGGGAAGGCAATTACACCGTTAGTGTTTTTTAACGACGTAAGCAAAAATCACCAACTTGAACCTTTTTTACAAAATATGAGACAACTGTAAACATCTAAAAAAGGAAGGACCATTTTGAACACAACTACTAAAACTAGGGACCAAAATAGGTATTAAGCCAAATATTATTAGAACTCAATGCATACATCGTAGCATGAGGATTACAGAGAATGACCCAAATAGATCAAGAACGAAAATGAAGAAGGAAAATAGGTCTAGAGAGATAATTAAGGAAAAATCAATCGTCACTCCCTTTTCTCTCACCACAACAAACAAAACTCATACTACAATTGCATCAGTAATTTATTCTTCTGCCCCTCTATTATTAATTTTTTTTGTCACTAGTCTTAGTTTTAATTGTTACAGTTCCTCCCCATTCAAATGAAAGCTTGTTGCAAAATATAGTGATCTTTGCATGTGGCAACACATGCATCTAAGCCTTCCCACTGAATTAGATGTTGTGTAATCTGATGTTGGCCTCTCAATATCACCCGAGATTGCAAAATAAAAACATGTTGAATGACAGGATGTAATTCATGGTGAATAATAGGCAAGGGAACATAAGGTTGCAAATGATCTCCCTTACAAAGCTTTAACTGAGAAGGTGAAAGACCAGATTATTTCGGGTTCCTTAGAGGCAAAAGTAACTTGTAAGCAACATGTTCATTTCGCTCAATTACTAAAAAAGGATCAAAGTACCTTAAACCGAGTTTCTGGTTCTTCTTGAGAGCAACTGAATGTTGCCTATAGGGTTGCAATTCTACCAAAACCATATTACCAATGTTCAACTCAAATAATCTCCTTTTCTTACTAGCATATCTTTTCATGTATTTATGAACATTATGGGAGTTAATTTTTAACCTAGTAAGAGTCAAATCCTTCCGCATTAACGGACTTTAAGTCTAACTCAACTTTAAAAAATTGACTTATAAGGTGAAGTTTACACTTACATATACAATGTAAATTGGTCTTATCTCTAATAAATGTGAAACTTCCATCACATCTCCTTGTGTCGAGGTATATACATCTCAAATGTGATACTAAACATTAATGAGTGGTATAATGGTAGGTGAAACCGTAAAACCAGCAAAAATCAAAATTTTCTAGGATAAACTTTAACTCATGGCTCTAATACTATGCTAAAAAGTAGACTTTAAGTTTAATTTAATTCTACAAAACTGACTTGTATGGTGAGGTTTTTGCATCCACATATCTCTTTTAAATTGACCTTATCTCTAGTCGATGTAGAATTTTTAACATATCCCTTATTCTGAGGTATATACATATTGATAAAATGGATTGTTCTTGCAATGAAATAGGATCATGATAGTCAAATTTTTATTTAGTTAATATAGGATGGTCTCTACCATAAACAATCTTAAATGAGGTCATTCCACTACTATGATCATAGCAAATATTATATCAATAGTTTGCCGAAGACAACATCTTTAACCAGTCTTTAGGAGAATGATAAGTAAAGCATCTCAAATACATTTGCAAGCATGTATTTAAGGATTCTGATTGCCGATCAAATCGTGGGTGAGATATGCAATGTATTTATAAAACTTGTGGGTGATATGCAATGTATTTATCAAATGAATATACTGTATCTAGAAGATACAATCAAAGTTGCAAAAGCGAAAAAAAAAATTATATTCAGATAGTAGAGGAGACTAAGCTTAACCTAAATTTTTTATATTTAAATATTTCTAATTATTTATATATTTAAACTTTATTACGTAAAATATAAACCTTATCCAGCTGCAATAAGCTGGTTAAAATATTCTTCTTCCTGTTAGGATTACAATTTAGGTTTAATAGCTTTTTTTTTTTTAAATATCTTTTTAACTTTATTCCATTATTTTGAATTTATTACTTTTAAAAAAGAGTTAATGTAATTATTTCTAGTCGAATTTATTATTATACGGATACTTGATATTTATTGTAAAAGACTGAGTAAGTATTCAACTATAAAGGATTATTCGATGACTAATCAGTAAAAGTTTTATAAAAATATTAACACATTAGTGTATTGAGAGAAAATATTAATTGAATATTTCCTCTAATGTTATAATTTGACTATAAATTTTTGGATTCTCAAAATAAAAAGGAATTAATAATAAAAGGATATAATTAATTATAAAAATAATTGAATAATATTTTACACATGTTTTCGTAATCGTTTCGTTGTTAGTTAAATAACTTGTACAAAGTAAATTATCAACTACATGCCACTTATGGTCATAAGTGCATGTATTCTTTTTCTGATTCAGATATTGTTAATAAGTCAATTTTAATGATAAAGCAACCTGTATTTTTTTCATGTGATGTATCCCAATATTATTATTAATTTTAAAAAGTTATAATAACTTGTATTTAAAAGGATAAATCAAACTAAAAAAATAATACTAATGAAAATGTTAAGCAGATGCGTCTAATTATTTTATGATAATAAAAAATAATAAAATTATTATTATTATAAATTAAATATAAATTATTTTTATAACTTTTTAATATATAATTTTTTTATTTTGTATGTAGTTTTATAATTAAAAATAATTAACTTTAGATAACGGTTGAATTGAAATAAAATAATTAAATATTGAGAAGTAAATTTGATAAAATAACTATTTTAATTTAAAAAAAATATTTAAAGCGAAACCTTACAAAAAATGTGAACATTAAAAGAAAAATCCGTAGGTATAGATTTAAAAGGGTGAAATGAGATAAAAAATGAAAAAAGAAATTAGTTACAAAGATGGGTAAATAAAAATAAAATTAGATTTGTTGGGGTTGAGTTGACAGTTGTTGTTTTTTCTACAGTGGCGCCGACTTCCGGTTGAAGCATGGAGCAAATAGAATAGAAGAAAGTGGAAACGGGGCTGATTTCATCTCTTCTGGACCGATCTTCCGATACTGATGGCTTCCACTGAGGGTCTGGTGCCCATAACTAGGGCTTTTCTCGCCTCCTATTACGACAAACACCCTTTTACTCCTCTTTCTCCTGATGTCACTCGACTTTCTTCTCAGATTCGTTCAATGGCTAATGATTTTCTCACTCAACATCCTCCTACCCAAGGTATTTTCCGCTCTTCAACTGTAATAGTGCAAACATTGCAGTGTATATCTGGTTACATATTTTGCTTTAGATCCTTATATTCTCGTTGATTTCGCTCCAGGAGAAGGCGTCTTAATTGATGAAGCTGACCAGCTACCTCCGCATAAAATTGATGAGAACATGTGGAAGAACCGAGAGTATATTGAAGAAACAATTTTTTTACTTGAAAGTTCTAATTGGCCTGAAGTGGTAGTGTATCTCTTTTTTTTTTTTTTATTTTTTTTTAAATTCATTTCCCCTTTCTTTATCTAACATTTATAAAGGCACTGTTTTCATATCATGAATACAGGATATGATAACTTCAGAATTTCCCTTCAAGAAACCTTGTGTTTTTTACATCATATTAGCTTTTGTAAAGTTCATGTAAAATGATTTTGTTGAAGATAAGCTTTTATTCTATGCGTATAGGGAAATATGGAAAGATTGTATAGCTAGAAATTAGGGATTATCTTTCATTATTTGTATCC